GGATGTGGGGAAGAATCCAGGGCTTGTGTGGAGGAAACTCTGTGGTTTCAGGAGCTGCAAGGAATCTCTTTACTGAGTCACATTTCTGTGAATCTCAAACAAGGGGCTGCTGTTGGGCTGGACAAGATGGATAAAACCCAAATATTTAATTCAGGAGGGCCCAAGCTGCAGCTCTGGGCTGCAGGACTCTTCCCACGTGGTTGCTTTGCTCTGCTTGTTGGGAAGATCCCCCATGGATGCCTTTAAGATTTCCTCCTCCAAGTGCTTGAAGGCACCTGACCCAAAATTTGCAGATGCAGCAGTGCTGGGTGTCACATGTGACATCCCCGTGCCTGGCACCGTGGAATGGAGAGAGCCATGGGAACGGGAACGAGCCCTGCAGCACCTTCCCTGGGGACAGCTGTGTTTAATGCTGTGCATCCCCAAGATCCCACCCAAATCCTGCACATTTCTGTCCCTGACACAGCCACTGCCCACTCGGAGCAAGGAGCAGAGCTCACCCAGCCCCGGGGTGGGAATCTCCCACAGAAAAACTTACAAGCCCCCTGAAAATGGTGGCCAAAATGGAAATATTTCCCTGGGATGTGACAGGCTGAAGACACTGCCAGCTCCCTGGTGTGGGGACCGTGGAGCTGAAGGGCTCAGGAAGGTGTCCCCGTGATCCCTTTGCTCACCAGCCTGGAAAGGAGCACAGAGCTCTCCCCTTCCCAGAACCCAACAGCTGCCAAAGGTCAGGATGAAGCTCCACAGACCTTGACAAGGGTTTGTGCAACAAAGTCCTCTCCAGCACCTCGGGAAAGGCTGGGCTGAGCTTCACCTCCTCTCACTCATTGGACATTGGGGTGGTTTGGCTGGGCAGAGCAGCCAGGGGACGTGGCCAGGACCCCTGTGCCACCAGGATCTCTCCAAATCTTCCCCCACGAGCCCTTAATCAGCTTCCACCTGGGATTAGCTCAAACATTCCCAGCCTCTGGTTCAAAATAGCTTTTCCTGCTTGTGGGCAACTAATCCAAAAGGAGCCCTGTCCCTGTTAGCCAGCACCTCCAGCAAGGATGGACTTTTCCTAAGGCTTGAGCCTTGAAAGTTTTGGGTTGAGAACCTAGGGCATGGAACACGTGTGTTCAGAGCTGGGTTGTGGTGAGGATTCATAGAAGCAGCTCCTGTAAACTCAAGCAAAGCCTGGCCTGGTCCAAGGCAGCTACAAAGAGCACAAGAGCCCAGTTTGGGCTGAATTATTTGTATTTTGGGAGAAATTCAGGTTTGGCAAAAGGGATTTCACTCAGGGGCTCACAGACCCTTTCCTGCTGACAGCAAGTAGAGCCAAGAAAACTCCCTGTGTGTCTGAGCCCACCAGAACCTGGGCATGAATTGGGTAAAAAACCAGCCCCTTCTGTAGGATGGATCCCCAGAGCAAAGAACTGCTGAAAAGCCAGGCTAAAAAATGAACTCCCACAGCACCCAGAGGAGCAGGCAGCTTGGGAAGGGACGTGCAAGCAGTCACATCCCCGAGTGCAGCTGATGACGTGGCTATGATTTAATAAAGGACATTATTAGTGCCCTGCTAATGGCTCCAGGCGCCGGCAGCGGAGCTGGCCGGCTGCTGGCAGCTCCCAGCCCGGCACAGCTCATTCCCACCAGGCTTCTAAAGATTCAATTCACCTCCACAAGGCTGCAAAAGCATTTGCATCAACAGTCCCCCATCACAGCCTCCTCCTGCTGCCCCCATAACCGGGCACACGGAGCCACAGCAGCTCAACACCGGCTCAAATCCTCAGTCAGACAGAAATCCCACCTAAGATTAAACACAACACAGCCCCAAACCTCCATTTCCTCCTAAAACCTGCTCCCACCTGGCTCCTTCCCACTGACCTGCCACAAAACTCGGCAAGACTGAGCAGCAAAACCCAGTTGAGGTTCCAGCAGCAACACCACTCCAAAAAAAGCTTCCTCCCAGCAAAAATATGTCCAGAAATGAGCAAAAAACCTGGGGACTGGGGGAGGCAGCAGTGATGGGCACAGCCTCAGTGGCCTCCCAGCCATCTCTCCTGGTGTTTCCCTGCCCTTTGCCTCATCAGCAGTGATTGGGGTGTTGATCAGCTGCCCTGGGGGAGGTAAGGGCCCCGTGTCTGGGAGAAATTGATATTGACTGCTGAGATGTTCATTTCTGTGTCCTCAGAGCGGCGGTTTTGGCTGAGGCTCCGTTTTGTGCCACGAAGGTTCTGCTGCTTCCCCCTGGTTCAGGCAGCATCTGCACCACGGATCATCTCCAGGCAGGAAACTCCAAAAAAGAAAAATCCCTGTGAGGCAGAGATGGAGCAAATCCCTCATTTCCACAGGGTGAGACATCTGCCAGCAAAGGGACTTGGCAGAGATGGGGAACCTGCGTCAGAGGCTGAACCCTCCAGTGCTCCAGCTCCTCCAGCACCAGGGCTTGGCTGGGAGAGGCCCTCTGTTTCTGTCTGAAACCTCCATAAAAATAGCACAATTATGGGAAAATCCTTGTCCAAGTGGAAAAGAAAACACCAGCCTGGCTTTCACGAGGAAGCAGAGCTCTATAAAAGCGCTCCTGTAGCTGTTTCTGTCAGGGGTCCAAAGCCTCGCTCGCAGCCCTTCACCCAGGGCCACGGCTCCACAGGGCGAGGGCGGCCCCCTGCTAAAGCATTTTTATGATTTTTTCCCCCAGCATTTCACTTCACCTCATCAGAAGTTTCCATACATTGGGAACAAACCGTCTGCAGGAGCCTTTCCCCTGGAGCAGAGCGGGGCAGCCCCCGCCGGGAGCAGCTGCTTGATCCCGAGCCATAAATAACAGGCCAGGCTGGAAAATCTCCATGGGTTTGGTTTTTTTCTCACAGAAGTCGAGCTGGTGATGTCTGTCACCCCCTGTCCCTCTGTCCTTCCAGCAGCCTTTCCCTGAGTCCCCCAGGGCTGAGCCCCTTTACGAACTCAGGGTGCCCTGACAGATGGGGGGATTTAACCCTGGAGGGATTTAATTAAAGGTGCCCAAACCTGGATAAAGTTTGTGCTCACAACACCCCGAGATTCCCCAAAACAGAGCAGAGCTGTGATTTTTGGGGGCCACAAGGGGAGGGGTGGCAGCAGGGCTTTGTGATTTCCCCTCTGTGCACACAGGGCAGGGTCCCCCAGGGGTGACCACGTTCCAGGTGACATTTCCTTCGTGCCTGGCCCGCTTCTGTGGGACATTTCTCGGTCAGCAACAGAGAACGGCCTCGGATCTATTTATACCCCACCCTGGAGCCGGGTAAAAATAACCCCGGCGTGTTTGGCAGCCTGAAGGCGCTGCTGTAAATCCTCCCTGTCAGCGAGAAAATCCCGCTGGGGTCGGAGCCGGGGTCCCGCTGGGAAAGGAGGTGCTGGGGGAAGCCCAGGGGCATCCGTGGGGTTGGACCCCGAGCGGAGGAGGAAAGGGATCGAGGGAACCTATGGGGCAGCAGCTGGCAGCATCCCTGCCCCCAAAAATCCGGCTGGGAAGCAGAGCAGGAGCGTCAGATTGCTCTTGAACCGGGATTAAAAGGCACTGGCGCTGCTGTATTTTTAGCTTCGTGATCATCCTTTGAAAAAAAAAAAATCCCTCATTGTGGCCGGTGGGGTGGGAGAGGAGTTGGGAGCTGCCCCAGGCTCAGCCCTGCCGCTCTTCGTATCCCGTCCTGTGGCCACGGGGAAGGTCACGGTGATTCCTGCAGCGCTGTCACCTCACAGGGACCGGGGAGCCCCGCCCCATCCCATCCCATCCCATCCCATCCCATCCCATCCCATCCCATCCCATCCCATCCCATCCCATCCCATCCCATCCCATCCCATCCCATCCCATCCCATCGATCCCATCCCATCCCATCCCCTTGCAGAGCCCGGGGCTGCTGCCGCCTGAGTCAGCTTTATCTGCCGGGCTATTAATAGCTGCGGCTCGGCTCGGCCCTGCTCTAATTGCAGCTTAATGAACATCCGGGAGAGGCTGTCCCGCATCCCGAACCGCGGCTCGGCCCTGCTCGGCCCGCCTGGGAGCAGCCCCGGGATGCGGGAGCCGCCGGGTCCCGGTGTCCCCCCAGCCCTGGGGTCGTTCCACGCCCGAGCTGTCGCGGTCCCGGCGGGGACAGCTTTGAGTTGCCCCTCTGGCTGTCGCCTGGATGCTCGGGGTGGGAAACGCTGAGCACGACGCTTTTTCCTGGGGGATTTTCCCTGCAGGACTCGCAGCCGGGCTGGAGAGGAGCCACACCAGAGCTGTGATGGTGAACAAGAAACGTTCCCACATCTGCCGGTCCCCTCCCCATCCCAAGGGATTCCCACTGCCCACACCACACAGGGTTAAAGCCTTCGGGATTTTGCAATGGTCTGCAGCAGCTCCGGGGGTTGTGGGAACAAGTGCCAGGAGCTGCCCCACACAGACCCTGCACAGGGGCCCGAAGGTCGTTCCTTGGCCGTGTCCTTGTCCCCAGAGCACGGGCAGTGTCTCAGTCCTAGGGACACACCCAGAGTGTCCCCGGCTGCTGTGGTGCCAAGAAGAGCAAGTGAAGGTTTTGGTGAAACCAATTATTATGTGATCTATGATTTCCCCGACCCCAGTGCATGGATTGTCCCGCTGGCCATGGGACGAGGGTTCCCAGCTCATCCTCCTTGGTCCTTTCCCAGCTCCCGGAATCCCCGGCTCCTCCTCAGCTCCCTCGGCCCCAGCTGCTCTCAGGCTCAGCTCTCCTGGCCTGGCCTGAGCTCATTCCCAGCTCAGGGCTCTGTTCTGGCCCCGTGCCCTCCAGAGAGGGTTAAGTCGCTCCTTGGGCCCCGTGGGGAATTAAGGGCGCTCAGAGCCAGGGCACGGGGACAGGTCCCTGCCACCTCCAGCAGAGCCACGAACAGGGATCGACCCATCCCAAAAAACTCAACTAAAGCACTGCCTCCCACCTGGCTTGCTGCTCTTTGAGGTGGAGGCAGCAGGATTGGAGCAGCTCTGGATTTTGGGGATTTGCACAGAGTACAGGACCAGCAGCTTTAGTACTTGAAAATTTTATTTTCTCAAATGAGCACCAACACATATTGTAAATATGACAAACAATACGCCTCCCTCTAATACTGAAGAACTATATACAATGTACAAATACATGAAACGTGAAAACCAATTATTTGAAAAACAAACAATTGCATTTATGACTGAAGCAAATGACCTGAAAGAATATGCAAAAAAAATTAAAATTAAAATAAAATCAAAGAAATAAAAGTATACACAATTTGTAAACACAAGAGCATCCATAGACAGGCTGGTATTGGAAATATTGTCCTTAGTTTTGTCAGTGGGGAAAGCATTCCCATTTCCTTAGGAAGAACAAAACAAAGGATACACACAGTTGTAACGATGAGAACAGCTTATTTGTGGTTGTACCTTACACAATGCCATTCTGCTTGCATTTAAGTATGTTGATTTTTTATTTTTTTTTTCTGAATTCAAGATGATTTTGTTTCCCCTCTTCTGCTTGTTCTTTTTCACCAGGATTTCTGCAGAAAATCTCTGTCTAACCTGATTGTTTCTGAGCACTGAGGCCTCTCCCGTGGTGGGAAGAGCTCCTTCCCACTGAGCTGAGCTTGGTGTTTGGCATCCCCTCTTCATCCCAAAACTGCTTCACCTGGAAGCTCCTCCCGAGGCAGGGAAGTGCAGTGAAATGCATGATTCACACACTCTCACAGAGCAGTTAGAAAAATGCATACAGAGAAAATTCTCACTTGATCATCACGAGAACAGGTTTTATTTCGCAGGGTTTGATCTGTTCCTGTGTGGTTTGAAGCCATGTGCAGAGAATTAAAAAGCCTGCAAGAGTTCTTGACCAGCTCCTTGCTCAGCAAAACACATCCAGTGGTTTGTGCTGTTGGTCCACTTTGGGATAAACAAGAGACCAAATGAGAGAAAAACAAAGAAGGGCGAGAAGGGGGGAGATTAAAGACAGAAAGGAGAACAAAATAAATGAACTTTACTGCCAAGAGAGGTAAACTTTTACTCTAATTTGTTATGTAGCAGCCTGGTTTTAAAAAAAATATATATAAACAAAACAACAGCAACAAAAAAACCTCCCCTCAAAAATAAAACCAGGATCCAAAGATTTATGGTTTAGGTGAGTTAAAAGCTCCATCCTCCATCCCTGCTGCCCCAGCAACAGCGAATCTGAGGCTGCAGCTCCTGTCCAATCCCAACTCCTGCAGCTCCAGATCTACTTCACTCCAGCCAATACTGGTGCAAGAGAAAATTCCAGGCCTGGATTCTACAAACCAGGGAAAGTGGGAGCCCCACCAGGCTCCAGGGGATTCCTGGTGGGAGCACCAGGGGACTCCAGCCCCAGGGAAAGCCAGGGGGGAACTGGAGCCCTCCCAGGTGCCTGCAGCCCCTCTGAGCCCAAACATCCCCCTGGGGGCTGCTGTCCCCAACCCAGCCACCAAATCTGCCAGCTGGGAGTCCCCTCTCCTGCCACATCCACAGGAAACACGGATCCACTGCAGAGGACAACGTAAATTATGATTTTTGTTTCCCTTTAAACATATTTTCCAACAAATACAGAAGGAAACAGTATCATCATAAACAAAAACAACAAAAAAAAGTGCTCTCAGGGAGGGGCTCTGAGAAAACAGCACCAAATATATTATTTCTTTAAAAAAAATTAAATATTATTTACAAAAGTATATTTCACAAGATAACGTCTGGGGGTTATTTTTTCTGCTTTGTATATATTATAATCTGAATATTTCTTACAGGGGTCAGGATTTCACACCAGACAATCCACCAAAGCAAAAACAATTTAAAACTTACTCAAGTCTGAGCTTTGGGGTTTAGGGGGGGGATGTAAACTCAAGGGTGCTCACAGCTGCCCAGACACAAGGCTGGACACCAAAACAAGAAGGAAAACTCGCTGCTGTCCCTGTTTTCCCGAGGATGCTGCCCACAGAAAGCAGCACCACGTGCTCAGGAAAGAGTTTCCATGGGCCACATCTCCGTTTCTCCTGGGAAAAGGCCCCACCTGGCTCAGCTCAGCAGGGAAGTTCTTTGGTTATCTCTGAGTGTGTCACTCTGTGGCTCCCCCACTTGGGAGCCACCAGCACAGATCCCACATTCAGAGCGGCACAGATCCCAAATTCCTGCCAGCCCACAGCTCCCGGGGGAATCAGCAGCCAGCTGAAGCTGTTCCTGTTTACTGCACACACACAGGAGCTGCACAAGCCCAATTCTCCTCATCCACCTGTGCAGGACATCACAGCCCCTCCAGGGAATTCCCTGGGTGCTGGAGACAGCCACACATTGGGCTCCCAGCAGGGCTCAAGGCCAGGCTCTCAAACCAATTAAAAGCAGATTAACACCTCACCCTATTCAAGCTTGGACTGGTTGCCATTAAAAGCCCAACACCTGTGACCAGTAAAAACCAGCCAGGTCTGATGGGGCATTGCCCTTTTTTTGTCCCAAATGAATGGATAAAAACATTTCCACCTGGCAGCTCTCTGGAGCTGGTATTTTTCAGAGCAGTTCTCTGCACAGCCCTGCCTTTTAGGTCTCTTTTTCATCAGCAGTCACTCCAAATACAAACATCAAACCACGAGCCCTGTGTGCTCTTCTCAGCCTCATTGGATTTGGGATGATCCCTCACGTCTCCCAGCTCCTTTACAGGCTCTGTGGAGACTAAAGAGCTCTTTGAAGAACAGGAATTACTTCCCACTAGTCAAAACTCAATAAATTGCCATGGATCCTCAATGAAAGGACAGGGAAATGGCAGCAGAGTCAGTGCCAGAGTCCACAAGACAGCAGGTGCTGTGGAATTTTTGATTTTTATGGGATTTGTCACAGGAGGGAATGTGGCTGATGGAAGCAGAGACAATCCAAAACAAAAGCTGAAGCAATTGTTACACAGCCAGAGCAGAAGGGTGAGGGCAGAAGCCACCTCTGGACAGGTTGGTCACAAACTCCATCCCCTGCAGGAGCCCGGCCAACTCCACCTCGTTTCTCCAAAGTTGTCGAGAACAGAGCTTTGAGAGAGAAAAAAACAACCTTTGCTTCATCAGGTTTGGGTTTCAGCACAAGGATCCAACACTGAATTCCACCCTGATCCTTAAGGAGAGTCTCTATCCGCATTCCCTGCCAATTTAACATCAAATGATTCTTCCACAGTCCCCTGGAACCTCTCAGGGGTGGGGGCAAGTGACAACAGATTACAGCTCCAAAGCTTCTGTTTCATAAGGAGTCACCACCCCCTGCACAACACTCTTTCCTTCTGGATTAAGAAAGATTTCCCCCCATGGATTAACCTACTTGAAAGAAATCAGCCAACAAAAAGAAAAATTCACTCAGGGAGAGATAAAACAAACTCAGCTCAATAGTCCTGGGTTATGCACCAGATACTGGCTGGATGCTGCACAGCAAACTTCCCATTGTTATTTTGGCCTAACACAGTTCCCCTGTCACACACGGCGCCCCTTCCCCACCATCCACCTCGGGAAGGTGCTCAGGAATCACCGTGGAAAAATTCAAATGGGAAGGACTCCCTGTCCCTTGCAGTTCTGACACCCACATCTACCCCTCAAGGCATAGATCGCTCCAGGGGTTGGTGGGAAGGTGTTTAATTTCTCTTTTTCTTTCCCATTCTCCCCGTGCCTGCAGTGGGCTTCTGGGAGTGGGAAATGGGGGGAGGATTTGGGGAGGATTTCTCAGGGCTTGAAATATCCAACACAACCGCCAGGAACTCGGCTCCCTCCTCGCACCATTTCTGTGCCAGGCTCCCCCAGTGGAGCTTGGCATGCAAGGAAAAGGTTCTGCAACAGCATTTTCCTACTTGCACTTGTGAAAGATCGGTGCAACACCACCGAGGGTGCTCAGGGGAGGCCAGGAAATCCAGGGGTACCCTCTGTCACTGTCCCCATCCTCCTCTACGGAATTTCCTCCTCCTTGCCTCGCACGTGCCTTTCTTCACCCTGCCACGTTTTCTAAGCTGCAGCTCCAGCCTCCTTGTGCCTCAAGTGGTTTTCTCCTCCTCTCTGAAGGGCTCAAGTGTCTGGATTTGGTTTCTCCAGCCATGAGGATGCTCCTCACGGCCGTGCTCTGCTGGGACGTTTGGCCTCCCTACCCTGAACCAGCAAGAAAAAGGAGAGGCAGGGAATCTCTCCAGCCTCCAGGTCCTGCCCCCTCAAACAACGAGTTCATAAATAGCAAACAAAACACAGATTGTGGGGGGAGCTGGTTCTGCCTCGGGCTCAGCCGGCTCGGGCTGAGGCTCTGCCGATGGATTCGGGATTCCGAGAGAAAACGCAGCCGTGAGGTAATTTCTGTCCTTTTAGACAAGGAGATATTCCTCTGTCCTTTTTAGACAAGTAGATATTTCTCTATCCATTTAGACAAGTAGATATTTCTCTGTCCATTCAGACAAGGAGATGGTTTCAAGCCTTGCTTAACCAGGACTGAAAGGAGAAGCACAGCGTCACCTTCTGATGGTTCTCCTGCTCCCCCACTCCCCCACCCCTCTCCCACCTTCTCCTGCCCAGACCTCGGGGTCTTCCTCCCACACCTGGGGAGGTGCCAGGAGAGCCCAGGTCAGGCTGGATCGAGCTCTGGGCACATGGAATGGCTGTCGGGCATTCGGTGCATTCTCTGAGCCAACGCCAGAACAGAGAGAGAAGCAGCCAGGGTCAACTCACAAACAGATACAAAGCAAAGAGACAGAGAGACAGAAATTTAGAGGCCAGTCACCAATAAAGATGGAGAAGGGTGTGAAGATGCTCCCGGATTGCAGAGCCTCTAAATGCATGGAACCAAGCGTTCAGTCACTCTCTCACTCTTGGATATAATGTTCGGTTGGATGGCATTCTCTTACACGCTGCTAGGGCTGGGCTCTTCCCACTCAATCCCAGCCATTATCCTTGATCATGTGAGCTAGTTCAATGATGTATTTGCCTTCTTTATACTTCTGGCTGCTTTCAAAAGCGTGTTCCTAAAATGGAACGAGGAGGAAGGGTGAGATCGAGGTGGTATTTGGATGTAAATCACGTTATGGATCAGATCTGGGAATGCTGGTGCAAGTCTGAGCCTTGCCCAAAGAGAAAAAGTCAACTGCAGGTTTTCCTGCTGGCTCTCAGGAAAAATGTGAGGGAAAAAACCTGAAATCCTGCTTCTGGAACCTTAAATCCTGCTTCTGGCTCTCTGTCCATGCTGGGAAAAAGGAATTGGCAGCATGGAATGTGCAGATTTCTGTAGGCCAATGGCAACTGCTCCTAGGGCCAGGATTTAGGGATCACTGGTGGTAAAATCCAGCTCTCTCCAAGGTGGCTTGGGAATTTATTAAGGTTTGTTAGAAATGAAGTGGTTCTCTCATTGGGAATGGGATGGATTATGGTGAATTTAATGTGGAAATGGAGTCCCATGAGAAAATCCCACTCTAAACAGATCTGGGCCTGCAGCTGTGGAAACACACAGGAAACCTCTGGGATCCCCAATATCCCTGAGCTCCTGCATGGATTCCTACCCCATCAATTTTTGATGTTTTCCTTTTTATAGCCTTTCAACTGACTTAGTGAAGAATACTTCTGCCCAGAGGCCATGGATACAAACTAAGATTTGCTTAGACACTGGTGGAAACATATGAACAAAATGGTGTAGGCCTCCAGAAGCAGAAATTAGGATGTAACATTAGATTTCATTGGAAGGTAATTGAATTTAGGAAGAGCAAACAGATAAATTCATGTTCAACATGAATTCAACAGCATTTCCAGTGGGAAGGATTAATGGAGCATTCTATTACTCTGATAACATCTACCAGAATAATAGAAAAGTGTGAACCACAAGACTGAAGTTATCCTCATTTATGTTAAATGTTACTGAGGGCCACCCACCAAAACCAGGTGTAAATTCTTAGTAAAAAAAAACTACATTAAAGCTGATTCTCCAAATGCAACACACCCAAGACAGCAGGAAAATACACGGTTACAGGTAAAAACCTGCATTTTGAGCTCCCAAAATGGTCTTTCCACCCCCTCAACTGGAGCAAAACTGCCCAGGGGCAAAGCCAGGGACACAAATACTCACATATTTCCAGCCCAGCGTGGTTTTGCAGTTTTCACAGTAAATATCTGCCACGGCGTGCAGTCCTGTTAGTAACACCCGCTCCTCTGCAGGGCCACAGCCCACGTTAACTCTGGGACAAAGCACAGATGCTCCCCATTAGTGCCTTTCCACATCAAGATGCTCCAATAAAGCTGACAATGATTTCATTGCAGTGTTTGAAAACATGAGCAGGAGGTTCTGAGTTTCCCAGCTGTGCCCAAACAAAGCTCTCTCACAGTTCCAGAGCAGAATGAAAAGGTAAAATGGGGTTTTTATTCAATTAAAAAACTCAATGAAAGCTCTGAACGGGAGATTAATAACACTCTAGTCACTTGTGCTAATTAGGCATTTGAAAAAGATTTTCATTCTCAAATTGATAAAATAGTACTTTTACCTTCCCAAATGGAAAATTGAAAAGTGTAACTGAAATCAGCAGTTCTGCTGGAAGACAGACCAGCAGTGACCTCCCCAAAACTGTTTCCAGTCACTGGGAAAATTATACTTAGTTTTTATGAAGTACATATTTAGATATCATCTATCTCCACATTTACAAAACTCTGGCTCTTTGGTCCAGCTACATCCTGGGAGAGGAGAATGACTCAGCCATTAGCTCTGATTTCTCAACCCAATGACGAAAAAAATCACCTTTTCCTTGCTGCTTATCTGAAACCCCTACACAACTCAAATATGAATCAGGGGCTATTTCTGCCTCTTTCTCCACCATTTTCAGGAAGCTCCCAAGTCCCAGACAGAGGTTTTCTGAAGGAAACTATGGGGTTTTTTGCCTTTTTCAGGAGGGTTTTGTTAAATCTGCCCCAAGCGACACGTGCAGGGTACTCACACGGAGTTGAAGAGGTACGCTCGTCCTTGGCTGCCCTGGAAGGACTGGAAGGCAAGAAAACAAAGCTTAGTTGGCTGCTTGAGAGGAAAGAGGCAACAGTTCTCCAGCTCCAACACCTGCCCTTTTCACAGGACACACCTGGAATTTCAGTGTTTTCATACAGGCCCAACGTGCTGCTCGAGGGATGAGTTTTCTCTCTCATGTCCCAGCAAAATCTCTTTTCGCCCTTTGGGTGTTTATGAATTTCACACCACTCCTCAGCCTCACCTGAAGGCTGCCAAAAATTGGTTCGAATTTCTTTTCAAACTGCACTTGGACATGAGTTTGCCTTGGGAATTGCCCAGCCAGACACCGATCAGAGCAGAGGATTAGGATCTGTCTGTGCCAGGAGCTGTGCACACAAACACCGCCGTGATTTCACAAAAGGCCTCAGCCTTGAGGTGTGTGCAAGCCTCGTATTCCCAGGCCTGGAGATCTCCAGGACTGGGGCTAAACCCAGCAGGAGACAGAGATGAACACGGACAAGAGAACCACAGAGCAGCCAAACCAGCCCAGATAATCCAGGCACATTCTCTCTGCCCCACATTTCCTCAGCACCGAAGAGCATCACCATGGGAGGGCAGTTCTGGAGGGATCAGGGCAGTGCCAGCCTGGCAGGACACTGCAGGCACTCCCAGCACTTCCCAGCAGGTCCCAGTGTGCCACGTCTGTGCCGTCACCCTGTGACAGTGCCTGGCTGACAGGTACCAAGTGCCACCTGCATTTTTAATGTGCTTTGACAGACACACACTGAATTAAACATTTGGTGCTTGTGAGCAAGAGCTGGGCTGTCTGTACACAGGTTACCTTGTGGGACACCTCAGGGAATGTCTGCACCGAGAGGCAGGTGCTGGGAAAGTCACAAAGCAGCTTTTCTGGACCATTTACTGCTTTACTTTGCACCTCACCAGCAACCTTGGAACGTTCAGTGGTTTTCTTAAGACCTCAGCTGATGATTTCAGACCAAAAACCCTCAAAAGGGGGGTGACAGGGTTTTGAGGGAAAAGAGAAACATTCATGTTTTACCTCCAGGCCCTCTAACAATGGTCATTTATATGGCTGAGTGCAACCCCACATCACATAAAACAATCTCTGGGGGTCCCTGCCCTCCTTGGGTTGTCCCCTTCCATCAGTGCCCTCCTGCACCTACCCAACTCCTGCCCCGTGGAGAGGCAGTCAAAGCCCTGACAGCTTCCTTGGGAACATCCCCAATTGCAAAAGGATCCTTTCCACAGAGCAGAGGTACCTCAGAGGGCAAAACTGCCACAGGGCACCTGGGCAGGGAGCCACAGCCAGCAGTGCCAGCTGCCTGTGAGGTCTGCATAGCAGCCAGGGCTCTGCCAGCTATAAAATCCCTGCCTGGCACAGAATTCCCTGGGTCCTGGAGGGATAACTGCTCTTCAGAGGAATCTGAAGCCCAATATTAGTTGCCACCCAGGGCACAGAAAAGCCACTGTGGATGCAGAGAGGTTGCCCGAGGCACTGGGATATCTCTTTGCCTCAGACAAAAGCAGTGCCCTGAGGAATGCCTCTTTTCTTGGGCAGGAATTAAATAGGACACATGGCCCAAGTATGTTTGTGTAATTGCATTTATTAGAGAAGCTTCTTTTAATCCTTCTGCAGCTCTCAAGCTCTGTGTTCCTGCTGCTGTCATACCCCACACCCAGCCAGCCTGGCTGCTCCCAAACACACCCTGCACCATCCCAGTGACCTGGTGGGGGAAAGTGGGAACCCAAACGAGGACTCCCTGGTCAGAAAGGAGGGTCCAAGCCAGACCTGACTGCAGGAGGGCACTGCCTATCCCTGCTGCAGGACTGGGATGTCATGGAAAGGGTTCAGGGATGAAATACAAAATCCCACAGCAATGTGTGTGCCACCAGAGCAAAATGAAAGCAGATGAAGCTTTCTCACCATCCAGTCCTTCCCAGTAAATACTTCTCTGTAAACACCAAAGTGACTGAGTTTGCCAATAACAGCAACTATGGGAGCAGAGTTTTTTATTGGTACAGAAATAGGATTTTCTGTTCCTGCTGTACAAAGGTCTGTATTTAATAAACAACAAACCCAGTCCCATCAGCTGTGCTGGGTCTCACTGGACATTGTTCCACTCCCAGAGGTGCCTGCCCTTCCTCCCAGCTCACACCAGTGCTTGAGGGTATCTAAGGGTGGTCACTGGTAAAAAAAAAATCACATTATTTATCCCCTGCCCAAGCAGAAGTTTTCAACAAACCATTGCTCAGCTTTCAGTGATGTCTCAATAGTGACCCTCCAGCCAGCAAAGGATTTGGCAAAACATATATAAAGAAGGGAGAGAAGTCTGATAACCAAAAGTTCCCCAGTGCATTTGCCCTCTGCAAGACTAAGCTGGCTGTATCTTTATAAAGGTGGCACAGGCAGCTTTTATCTGGGTGCTGTAACCTGAGTGTTTCCTGGAGATGTTCCTGCTCTTCTGGCACGCCAGAGAAACTGGCATATGCTGTAATGGGAACTACAAAATCAGAAAAAAACAGGTATATTTATACACAAGCAGATGCTCTTGTATTTGCTTTTGTTGTTTTGTTTGTTTTTTTAAGAGACACACAAAGATTTCCACAACACACTTGATTTTCACTGAAATGACAGCCAGCAGCCAGACCTACTTTCTGTGCTCTGCATTTTCTCTGTACAGATTTTCCTGATACACATTCAAAGGTGCATCTCAATCCCCCTCCCACAGAAATCCAGACTCTCTGAAAAAACAGCTCCTGGCATCACTTTCCAGCTGGAAGAAATGGAAAGGATCTTTCTGTAGTTGTTTCCCACTGGAAGCCCAAGCACATATTTTTCCCTGCACTGCTATTACTCGGTGTCTGGCTGGAAACACATCTGGATTGTGCCAGCAACACAATCTTCCCTCCCCATCCTGTCTGAGCCCTCTGAAAAAATCAACTCAAGCTGTTGGGATCAGAGATGCACAACAGCTCATTCCTCCTGATGTGCAGCTCAGGAACCCTCCCCATTCCTGGCTGCTCAGGAAAGAGGCATCCAAAAGCTGCAGGGCCCAAGGAGTGCTGGTTGGAGTATCCAGGTGGGGAGCCAGGAGCCTCAAGCCAGCAGTTTGGAGCAGATCCTCTCTCACTGCAGAAGCTCCATGTTAAGAAGCTTTGGCAGCTGCTCTGGTTTAAGAAGCTGCTGCCACCCAATTTGCAGGCACTCCTTGTGGCCCCTCAGCTGTGCTGATCCCAAATTAGAGCTGCGAAATCGTTGTTTTAAAATCCAGATGTTTTGCAGGGGTTGTGGTGGGTTTGAGGGAAATGGCTTTTCCCTCCTTACCCAGTTAAAGGACAATCCCAGGGATTGTTTCGTGGTCACAGTTCGGGGCAGGCACAAGCCCTGGGGAGAAAGGAGCTCTCTAAATGTGCTGGTAGAGAGGCAGAGTGCAGATCTGAGCCTGCAGAGAGGCACCTGGGGTTTCACAGATGCTGCTGAACCAGCCCTGCCACAGGAGCAAGCAGGACCTGCATCCTCACCCAGCTCTGGGGCAGACACGTCCTGCCCACCAGGGATGGGCCCAGCCTGCAGGATCATGAATCCCGCTCTATTCAGCAGCCAGGACCTTGGGAGCTGTTTGGGTAAATCCATTTGTTTATTCTGCTCTCAGCCCGAGGTGCTGAACCCATGGCTCCGAGCACGGTACAGGATCCCCTTGGCAGAGCTGTGCAGGGAAGGGCTGTGCCTCTCCCTGCCTGCTCCCTGCTCCACCTCCACACCCTTGCTCTGGCACATTCCCTTCTCTGCTGAGTGCTGGAGACACAGGAGGGAATTCTGACATTCCATCAGCCATGCCAGGGAAAGGCACAAACTCTGAAAACACCGTCCCACCTCCCCCTCCTCAGTCACAGCACAGCCCACCCGGCAGTTCCACTCTCCCAACAGATGACAGGATTAATACCCCAAGTCCTTGTGACGGTGTTTGACAATGAGCTAAACACAAAAAGAGCTGCTGGAATCATCTGGAAAAAGAGGAAGCAGTTGCCAGGGCTAAATGGCTCCACAGTGATGCTTGTTCCCCGCAGACTGCAGCAGAGAAAACCCCCACGTACCTATATCCAGCTGGCAGCCTTTGAACAATCCAATAAAACAGAAATGAAAAGGCAACTGGTCCCAAAGAGGTCCAAGAGGAAAAGAGAACAGCGTGTGCCCCTTCACGCTCCTCTCCTGAAATAATTCCCACTGCAGGGATGCAAATGGAGCTGAGGGCCCAAAGCCACCCTGGAGAGCCATGGCACGTCCTGGGCAATGTGGAATGGCAGCGTCAGGAGAAGCCAAATGAGCACAGGAACCAGGATTTTCCAAAGAGGACACGTTCCCTGTGATATTCCCACAGGACAGATGTTACAAACCCATAGGCACTGAATCTGTGCCTGAGAAATCCACACAAGGAGCTCTCCAGAGAGATCTGGGATCACTGATTTCCCAGCTTCTGGGTCTGAGTTACTACAGCCACAGCACAACACTGACTGCCAGATTTCTCTATTCCCACTGCTGATTTAACCTTTAAACATCCCAGGATGAGATATTCTCATAAAATACAGCTTGACCAGGGAGAGGAGATGTTTAACTAAGACAAACTGTTGTGTCAATATAACCTAACATGAATCTGAGTAGCAAGATGTGCCCCAAACCCAGGTTTCCTTGTGCTCATGCACTTAAATCCCAATTCCTACCTGCTGCTTTCCAACATCCCACACAAAGCTCAGCCTTCATGGCACCTTTCAAGCCAAATTTGATTTAATTTGATTAAAAATATGAGCCCTGGAATGTGTTTAGAAGAACCACTACCTGTAACAGCACCAGGTGTATGATGGCTCCATGAGGAGTTTCCTTGAGTCACTGAGCAGCAGGGAGAAAACTGGAAAATAAGAACCGTGAAAACTCCTGCTGCAGATTCCAGGCTCTGCCCTAGCCAGCACCAGCCATTCCAACCATCCACTCACATCACACTCCAGCATTTCCCAGGGGAGCA